AAAAAAAAAAAAAAAAAAAAAGGAAAAAAAAAAAGAATTTCCAGCAGGCTGTCCTTTGGATTTCGACTATAGCAGCTTGCCAGAAAATAAGCAAAACAAAAACAAACAAACAGGTGGACAGACGGATGAGTGGACGGATGCACGCACTGACAAATCAAGCAAACAACCAACAAACCGTCAGACAAACCGATGGACCAACGGACTGATGAACCAACGTACCAATGGACCGATGAACCAACGTACCAACGGACCAATGGATCGATAACCAACCTACCGACGGACCAACGGATTGGCAGACGGACCAATGGACTCACCAACCAGTGGATGGACAGATCGTCACACTTTGCACCTACCGGCAGAGGGGAAGGAGCCTAAATCAATGGACTTGGACCGTGAAACCAAGCACGTCGCATACTTGAGAGTTAAGGACACTCTGACAGACCGTTCAAGCTATCAACTGATCAACAGACAGACAGGCAGACGCAACTGAACTGACCAATTAACCAAACCAGCCAAGCAAGCAAGCAACCAACCAAGCAAGCAACCAGCCAAGCAACCAGCCAAGCAACCAACCAAGCAACCGGCCAAGCAACCGGCCAAGCAACCAGCCAAGCAACTAACCAAGCAAGCAACAAACCAACCAACCAACCAGCCAGCCAACCAGCCAGCCACCCACCCACCCAACCAGCCAGCCAGCCAAGCAACCAAGCAACCAACCAACCAGCCAGCCAGCCAGACAACCAACCAACCAACCAGCCAAGCAACCAACCAAGCAAGCAAGCAAGCAAGCAAGCAACCAAGCAACCAACCAAGCAAGCAAGCAAGCAAGCAACCAAGCAAGCAACCAAGCAAGCAACCAACCAAGCAACCGACCAAGCAACTGACCGACCAACCAACCAACCGACCAACCAACCAACAAACCCATCGACCAACCCACCAACCCACGGTTCTACAGTACTAGGTAGGATTATGTGTTACTTCTTCCAATTCACCCACGCCCCTGCATAAGCGTGAAGGCGTCCATGATCCTCCTAAGGCCAGCAATTTGTTGTACTGAAGCTTGAAGCACCGCCCCTGTGTCATCCGCGAAGGCGGATGATTGGATGTCATGATCCCCTACCCGAATTCCCTGTATGTGAGGGTCGGCCCGGATCATATCATGTAGCACCTCAACATTTAATACGTACAGGGCAGTACACACATCCTTGTGGGTTGTGGAAAAAAGCGATCTCTGTGCAAAATCTGTCATATCTGTTGTTCGGATGAACTAGTGAGAACTTTTGACTGATGTTATCCAGATCCAGGCATTCAGACTGTTCGCGTGGGTGTCCAAATGTAAGGATAAGAAGCATGCTACTCTCTCTCTCTCTCTCTCTCTCTCTCTCTCTCTCTCTCTCTCTCTCTCTCTCTCTCTCTCTCTCTCTCTCTNTCTCTCTCTCTCTCTCTCTCTCTCTCTCTCTCTCTGTGTGTGTGTGTGTGTGTGTGTGTGTGTGTGTGTGTGTGTGTGTGTGTGTGTCTGTCTCTCTCTGTTTGCAGAGCCTATGGGGTCCTGAAAGTGGGAGTCCCGGTTAACCACTTGTGGGAAGTTATGGCTGATTTTTTTGGGTTCTCATGGCAGAACGATCGTTTTAAACTGCGAAGATGCAGTAGAGTACTTGAAATCAAGTATCTTCCTGTTCGATACTCGTTGGAGTTTTCATTCAATCTCTTGCTGTCACATTCATTGAAAGTTTGTTTAATTGCAAATCTTTTTTTTGTAATGAACCCAGTCTCATTGAGAAGCCAGTCAGCAATGCAATAGAAGTCTGAACCCAGCGCGCCTCATGAAGTCTCCAACATCAATTACATGTCTCGATCATGTGCCCAACTCGAAGAGTATCGTCTTATCAAAGAAGAGCATGAGAGAAGAGAAAGATGAGAGAAAAGACAGAGACAAGGAGGAGGAGAGTCTCAATGAGAATCAATAATACATGTCTCTGTAATGAAGCCTGCAGATTCTCAGTGGACTGTACATTGGACTGAGGGCGAAGGTCGGGGCTTGTCTCGGTCTGGACGCGTCTTAGGTTAGATTTGTAATTTTGTTTGGCTGAGGGCTAACCGCGACAGCTGACTGTGAGGAAATCCGTGAGGGATATATCTGCAAATTTGGGAAAATTATAGGCCCACGCTAACCGAATTCCCTACCGCTACCCTAACTGCGTATAGCAGGCCCGGGCTACCCCTAGGAAAGACAGGCCTTAGGGGCCTAAGCTGATAGACGGTCCTATAGCCTATAGCTGGGTTGGGAGAGGCCCTAGAGGCCGAACAGAAATGGTACTGGTCGGTCAGTCAGTCCGGTCTAGGTCGAGTCTAGGCTAGAGTAGACTATACATAGGTTGGGCACATTGGTTCAGGGCTTTTGGCAGTTGGTACCGAGTACATCGCGGCTGTGCAGCACGTGAACTGGAAGTGGTGACGGCTCAGCGTTGAGGGAGACAGACATAGCCAGACCTTTGGAGTGTCGCCCATAGCTGGGACCTGCGCTGTACTCTGTCAGCACGCGGGGCTGTCAGAGGTCTGGGCTATTCAAGGTCTGCTGGAGGCGAGAGAAGTTGGTGCCCTGCTGGACCCTCCTCCAGAGTGGGGTTCCAGGGTTGTGGCGCTGCAGCCATAGCTGCAGCTTCTTCCTCAGAGGTCATCTTGTCAGAAGGGGTGGCGCTGCTGCAGACTTCCACCCAGGAAGCCTTCTGACACTTCGTCATCATCAGATACTGTGAAGCTGGTCTTCTTCTTCATCCTCTGAGTGGCGCTTGGCCTCAGAGGTCTGTTTCAGGGTAGAGCTGCCCTCTGGAGGCAGTAATTGGGTGGCGCTTGATGTTTCAGGGACTCAGGGGTGTTACGGGTGGTTACTCAGGGTTGGGGAGTGAAGCGCTGCTCATTTCTGAGCAGCGCATCATAGTTCTGAGGTTATTCTGACAATTCGAGACTCTGAGTTTAATAGACAGTGTTGATATTGGGTTTGGACTATCATTGCTTCATTGTTCTTGGATGTGATCTACTCGGCTTTCCTTTATGACTGGTTGTGAGGATTGAGTGGAGTGAATTGCACTTTCAGTGTACCCTGTCATATCGCATGGTCAAGTCTTCCGCTGCGTTTATCTCTCCCTGTGCGGTGTGATACTCCTATCCTCTCCCCTTCCTTCTGTGTATGTATGGGCATACCTGGGAGTCTATGTGAGTGAGTGTTGGTCTTCAAACAACAGGCAACCAGAATCATAACATCTCTCTCTCTTCCCCCCAATTCCACTTCAGGCTTCTCCTCTATCGCCACCTCAGCATGTTCCCTCTGACATCCTCTGACATAATTACTGGGCAGATCATAACAGAGTGCCCATCCTCCCTCCACGTCAGCAATTAGATATGCAGAATGGCACCGCACTTCCTCGCCTTCGTGAACACCAGCAGCAGATCACGCATCTCGTCGCCAGGTAAATCCAGGTAAGCTTCCCTTCACCTCTGGTCAGTCTCACAGCACTGATCCTCCTCCTCCTCGCCCAACCTCATCAGCTAGTCTACAGCTATGCGGCTGTGGCCGCGCCAACATAATCTCCCTCTAGGCTGGCGCCCTCCAGCTGCATCTGACGCCAGCATCCCACTCCAGCAGCCTCACGATACAGCACTAGCATCAAGCCAGCGCTAGGCAGAATGCCTTCCCCCGTGTCTGACTGCCCTTTTGTAGCTTTGACCAGTGTTGACTGGCATGGACCAGTCTCCCTTTGACAGTATCGACGCTTCAGATTTGCCCGATCTTGACAGCCTGCACGCAGCCTTGAAGCAGCGGTACCTTTGCCCAGTCGGGGATTGAATCTTCCAGATACCTGCAGACAACCATTGATGTGCATCTGATTTATGGTCGGGGCTGACTTCTGGGTTGACGTTGAGTTTGGGCCTGCTTTTCCCGTGCTTGGTCTGACTCTTGATTTTCCAAGAATCAACTACCTCACGCGGGGACACTGGACGATGTGTTTCACCCAGGCCCTTATACCCCTTGACTTTAGGCCCTTTCCTAGACATTTCTCAGATTTGGGAGGTGAACTTTGACCCGTGTATCTGGCCTTTTGACCAAAAGTGACGATCCTTGCCCGCAAAGGGGTGGCCATGAACTGAGTTTATTGCATTTTTTTGTTTTTTGTTTAATAATTCAGGGTTGCATACCCCGACGGTCGGCAGCTCTTGACTGGTCGGCACCTACCGGTCGGGGGTTGTCGGCACCCTGCAAAAAAAACAAAAAAAAAACAAAAAAAAACTTTTCTTTTTTTGGGGTCCAGAACCCCTAATAACCCCACCAACACCCCCTTACCCACACCCAATACCCCCATACACCCCCCCAACACTCCCAAACAGCCCCCCAACAACCTCATACCCCTCCCATACCCCCTATGCCACCCCTATAGCCCCCTGTACCCCCCTATACTCAGCAAGCACAGTACAGCCCCCAACTCAGATTTGAAAAAAAATCAGTGGATGGCTGTTTTCTGACTGGTCGGCAGACCGCCGACTGGTCGGCCCTACTGGTCGGCTGCAAAACGGTTGGCGGGTCGGGGTCGGCGGTCGGCAGGGATGCAACCCTGGTTTAATTGCAAATCTGCAATAATGGATGTTGATGTCTTTGTCTTTGTCTCTCCCTTTGTGTGTACCAGTCGTGCTTTCATGAAGCAAGGCATAGAAATTGGAAGTATGTCTCCGACAAAATCCAAGGATATGGCGGGGTACGGCAATGCAAACCCTCTTTCGCTCTCCCCTCCCTTCTTTTGCTTCTTCCTCAATCCTTCCGTACCCCCATCTACCTTTTCTCCCTTTATTTTCCCCTTTCTTCATCATCTACTTATTTGATCGACCTCCGTTCATGCATGGAACCCAGTCAAAATTTGTATAGAAAAGGTTTAGCGTCATAGCTTTTGGTCCAAGCCCAGAATCAGGGATCAAAAGTCGTGTCTCCAGCTCAAGAAGGGCCTCAGAAAGTCCATGGGTCAATAGGTACCAACCGGGTCAAGAGTGAAGCAAGGCACCCGGTGCCCCCGAGAACCGGTACTTGAACTCAGGCAAACTGAGGCAAAGCAGTCAAAGAGCCAGAGATTTCTCAGGAGTCAACCACGGCCACATATCTGATGCACATCAAAGGCTGTTCGCAATGTTCCAGAAGTTTCCAAGACCCACCGGGTCCAGGCAGACACTGGTTGTGTCGCATGCCTAATGGCAAAGATCAGAACCAAGAACCGACCTCTCCGAGATAGAGCAAAAATAGCACAGCGGAAGACTGAAGTACCAAGATCTGACTCAACAGGGACAATGACACGACCAGACAACCACCACCATCACATAGCGGAAAGGACTCAGCGCTGCAATCACAGAAGATGCGCTGAGTCCAAATATCATGCACGGGCAAAGTGGGGGAGAAGAGACGAAGGGAAGGGGATAGGGAGGATCAGCCACCATAACCCGATGAACCCAGTCTCCAGTGTATCCCCCAATGTCACTGCTCATATTATGTCTAAGTCGCAATGTCACTGAAAACGGGGACAGCCCAAAAGTCACCAAGTCTCCATGTCAACTCTCTCTCTCTCTCTCTCTCTCTCTCTCTCTCTCTCTCTCTCTCTCTCTC